CGCCAGAGGAATACAAGAAACTTGCCGAGCGGTGTTGTGATGCTGATCCTGATAAGCGTCCTGATGCAAAGACACTTCGGGAGGATATTGGCACGCTTATTGACAAAGTGAGAAAGGATAAATCTGGTGACAACGTGTGGAATACCGTTTATCATAATAATGTAAAGCCATTATCACGTCTCGAGAAAGAGAGTAAATACTCTAGTAAACTCTTACATACTGTAGATTTGCCTAAACCGAGAAATAGCTATATTTTGGATTCAGCTGCAGGTACGGTTACATGTTGATACAAGTAAAGTCAATTTACAATATCACAATATTAACATTCTATTTCTTATAATTTAGCAACTCAAAGTCTTTTTGAATAAACTCGTAATTTACGGTTTATTATTATATGAATCTTATTCAAAGGTTTGAATTATACGCTGTGCTTTTACATATGTCAATATGGATGAGTTAACAAAACGCTGAAATAAAGTCATGTATGTTTACCGTTAGCTGCCTTTTCCGGACAGAGTATTAGCAATATAAGAAAATTAAAAACATTGATAACCAATTATTTAAAGTTTATAAATAATACGTAGCCATGTTTGCCTGGGCAATGAAACTTATTCAATTTCAGCACCGGCCGGATAATGCGTCGGCCAATAATATATTACTGAATATTGCAATTTACGCAAGACTTCGATAGACACGATAGTGCACTTTATGCTTAGAATGCAGATAATAATAAAAACTCTGGGGATGCGATAAAGCAAAAAATGTAACACTCCTGTAAAAATTTAAATTTTAATTTATCTACTGCTTACTATGATATTACGATTACGTGAGCGATAAACTCATATTCCTCAAGAGCTATTGTCACTCTCAGAAAACAAACTCAGTTTGGCAACCTATTAGTTGCAGTATTTGATAAAATGCTGCATTAAGTTTATATTATATTGCACTACAATTAAAAATTTGCGTAATTGGTTAATTTTAGACAAGATGACAATTTTTTTATGACTTTGACAACAGTAGTAATTATAAATAGTGGATGTCGCAGTAATTAATGCAAAAATTCTATTTACACCAGTTATATAAAAAAAAACCATCGAGATATGTACCCACATTATTGTAAACATAAGTTATATAAGATTGTCGGATTATTGTATCAAGAATTTGACACGCAGTTATCACAAAACATATAAGGCCGTGACTTTAAATAAACTAACATCAACATGTCTATGACGTTCGGTTAGCGTAATTTTCTGTTGTGTCTCACTTTGGAATCTGCCTCAGTTCTGGGTCATTGTATAAATGTATATTATGACAATTAACTATAGTTTTGTTTTATTTATGGAGAGTTAACTGTATCTTTAATGTAATTTATTACATTGATACTAATATTACCCGCATAACAATTTTGTGTGCAATAATATTTTTTTACTCTCACAAACATTAGAGACCAAACTTCAGAACATGAATTAAAAGCTCTTATCAATCAACGTCCGATAACCAACTCACAAACAACGGAATTTATAACTTTCAAAGGAGATAGTCGATACGGTAAAAATATTGATGCAGAGAGGAGGAAGTGGAGAGCTTAATATTGAGAGGAATGTGTCTGTTCGCTAAACGCTTGAACGTTTAACATTTTTTTCAAAATTTATACGTCAAGATGATTTAGATGGAGATGCGAGCGCTTCCATTAAATTTCGGAAGGATTAAGAAAGAAATTGCTGCAAAAAGCATGAGCAAAAAGAAGTAAATAATTGAGAATTTTTTACATTCGATCATGAATAGTTTTAAATTATGCATTATCGTAAAATAAAATGATACAAAAGACTGTCGTTACAACGGACTCTTTGACAGCTTAAATTAAGAGTCCGATATAAAGCACACGTAAGACAATATTACAGAATCGTCAATATAACGGACAAAAGCGCTGGTACCGAGATATAGACTTTTTGTGTATTTGTCGATGTTTATTAGTAACTAGCGATACTTGGGCAGAGTTTGTGTTAGTTTGGTATCTGTTGTCTGGGGAAGTTTAGGATTGACGTGCGTGTTTTGTTGTTGGAATGCTTGTAATGGAGGTAGTATTTGTTTAGATGTGTTTGTAGCATGGTAGAAGCGGTTATACAAAAGCAATGGTAGCTTTATTTTAATTGTAAACAACTATGCATCCAAAGCTTGTTTGTTGATAAAAATTGTGCACGATTTCGTTTTCCGTAATACTATTGGCTGGCGTAAAGCCAAACCAAAACAAGACACACATACTGTGTGTTTTTGCTCACTGACGTTTACATTCAAATTTCGCGTTAATACAAATTGCAGTACGTTTAAACTATTGATATATAGTTTGTTTAATTGTCTGTTTGCACAAATAACTTCAAAAAAATTGTGATATAAACAGTTCAATCAGTCGAACATCGAAATTATCCGGATGGCAAAATTTAGCGAAAAATTGGACGTACCCAGAGCAAAAACTTAATCCAAGGTTTCAAGTTGCGAATTATGGTCCGCACAGCCCACACATTGATTACATTTATTTTCTATTTATGAAGAAATAAACACTTTATGGACTTTTAATTGAATGGCTGTAATAGTTTTTTTGAGCGAACAAGCAAAGGTGGTTAAACGTAGAAAAATTAAAGTCAAACCTCGGTAAGAGAATTAGTTGGCTTGGGTTACACATTTTCGTATCAGGTGCTAATAATAGCATCACTATTTTCATAACAATTATTCTTTCGCTACACAATACAGTTATAAAAATGAAGTAAAAAGTTACTGTCAAAATAACAACGATTTACTTTACTCGATGATGTAATACATATAATACCTTAACCACAATCCTAATACTGATAGAATTTATTTGCTTTGTTGTTTATTTTACTTAATAAAGAGCGTTTAACAAATAACACCGTCTATCGGTACGACCACAAAGCCTAATATATTATTAAGTAGCAACACAATAATACCGTGTATGGTTTCAAACTCAGCCATTATCTTTTGTGTACCATAATAAATATGCTTTACCTTTTAACTTAATCAACTAAATAAAGCCAAATGAGGCATACAATTTAAGAAGTGCAACCAGTTAGTTGAGACGATGGTATAACAAGCTTTGAGTATTTGAAAACTGCCAAAAATAAATTATCTGGTAATATCAAGACAGCGCGCTATGTTTGTGAAATTAGGTTTATGTAAATTTGAAAACCCATCAGATGTGCATATTGACAAACTACGCAGTTGATAATAGCACGATTGTAAATTGCAGCCAGCAGATTAATGTACTAGATTATTACGTTGGTTTAAATCTCTGAATGTATTGAAACAAGCAACAATAGTTTGAGTTTTAATCGGCAACGAGAATATGTCTGCTAATCAATTACGTGAAAATAATCATGTACATTCAAAATTTCCATTGATACGCAGCGTTGCACCGACAGACAGGATGTTTAACATAAGCACGGACAATTGGAGTTTGAGGCCCTTATTCAGCACACATGCGTGATCCCTGATTTGCTTGCACGGACTGGACTATCAAAATGGCGGTAACAGTTGAGGTCATCTCAAGAAAATTTACTATCTACCAACGACAGATGATTATAACATTTACAACAAATATTTTGCACAAATATTGGACATGGAGTGGCTCTATATTAATGACATTAAACTCGTTGCTGTATGTAGTGAACGATTTCACCAGCATACTTGAAATAAAAGCTACCAAGATACGCAGAAAAATACCGTCATTCTGATAGTCCAGTCCCCAATTGCGTAACTAGATGTGTAAATTTGAGACTAGGCATTTGGGTAACCAATAAAGCGAGTAATGCTTATAGGATTGACAACAAATTGAGTGAAAAAGACGACTCCCTATGGTTATTCGTACACAACGTTCCCATCGTATTACAATACCCGGCCCGGATTTTGGTAACACAAATCTGTATCGTATATCTGTCAAATGACCATTATCATTTCGGATGGGAAAACCTGCATGCTTTAATGAAAATGATAATGACTGAATAAAAAAATTGTATAATGTCATTGCGAAAAGTAAAGAACAAAGTATGCTGATTACAAACTCTGTCACATGTGACTAATTTGCTGTGAACAACATTACTAGTCGAGTTAACGTGCTGAACAATTAAATCTTATAGGTTTAAGTAAAACGTTATATAAAATCTTTTCAATCAAGTAAGTAACGCCGCTTGTAGTTATAATATTTATGCCTTATTCTTCCGATATACCTATTACAATAGACGGCAAGACTGCATAATGTTACGTTAATCTGATCGCCGATGCAAATAATGTGAAAGAAAACTAATTTACGAAAGTTTGTTTACACTTTTGATTAGTTAAAATGCTATCGATATGCAGCTATACAGTATGTTTAACGTTTTAAAGAATAAAATACACTACATATCGAACATATAGTTGCTCTTTCTAGTTACTCATGTTCTTGATACCTTTCGTTAACATAATACAAATAATCATAATTTTTTATAACAAATCAGTTTGGCACACATTGCAAATGAGTTATAAACATTATTTATTGGGTTTTAGAATTTGTCCAACCCTGTATATACAACGATTATTACCAGTAATAACAAATACAAGAGATGAACAAACTTTTTTTGTTTCTCAAAATAGACGGTAAGGATTAATAAAACAAACAAAAACTAATAGATAAAAAAAAGTGATACTAAGTTTAAAATGTTTATTCAAACCAGCGAAAACTAATACTTTTTCCCAATTATGCATGGTTTTATTTTACTGAATATATCTTTAATGCCCGATTAAGGAAGCTGGGAACCGTAATTTCTGTTAAATAAACTCCTCACTTTGTCACCAGTCCAATGTCTGATCTCACTTGAAGTCCCGAAAACCAAAAGTAATGGTATCCCGATAGACGCTCCGACAAAATCAGATCCACCAGGATGTGGGTCTAATGGTTTGTTTGCGATAACATCAAGAATAATTCCAACAGAAGCGGCAAGATTTGTAAGGGCATAAGCAAGGGTGAAGACAACCATTCGAATTGCTGCAGATCGTGTAATGCCGTAATTTTGGATTGATGCTTTCAAGTTAATGCCCTGTTCGACTTTCTTTGCCGATTTGCTGTCCTGTATAATCTTTGGTAATTGAATATGGGAATGCTTTTCAGCATCCAAGATATTTACTCGACTTTCGAGTGCTTCCGTTGTTATCGCTAGATTGTCGGTGGAACCTTGTGAATTGGTAACGTCGTTGGCAGATAATTTGGTCGACTTGAATTGGCCTGTATGACGATACACCGCTATTGCTGCGCGTGCCGAGAAATAAGTGCCAGGAATTGATAGCAGAAGGTTGGCTCCATTATAGCTTACGAGACGAACCCAAATCGGACTGACTATATCACTATAGGAAAAAAAAGTGTGGCAAATCAGTATTGGCAACACGTACACGTTTATGATTTAAAAAAGGAAAAAGCGAGCTACTTGCTAAATATATAGTTTTAATTTTTGTTCGTTTAAACACAAGTTGTAGCCAATGTTTATGTGTAAAGACTTACCAGTGATAAAATCGGGGCTTGACAGCCCTTTCCATAATGGCCACAGTGCTCACTATTGCGGTTCCAATAATAGGATATATAATGAGAAATCCGTAGTAATAATATCGTAATCTTGATTGTGTCAGATCACGTCGCTTGTATAGTACAAGAAGTCGGTAAGTTTGTATTGTAAAATTTATTCCACAAGCACCCGTCACAAAAGCTGCAAACTGCGTCTAATTATGGATTGAAAAGAAAAAATGTTAATAAAGCTTACGTTTCATTACAATGTCAAAGTTTATTTTAACACTTACCGCTAATGCCTGAAAATAGCAAGCTTCTATGGGTGCTTTGTTCCAATTAAAACTATATACAACACCCAGTAAGCCCACAACGTTTAAGAACATTACGTCTACCGAGAAATAAAACATCATTGGGTTTTTCTTGGTGCAGTAAAATACTATCGCCATATATGTTGCACATATGAACGATACTATGTTGATTAAGGTTAGGGCGATATTTTCTGTACTAAACATTTTGGCAAATTAAGGTAAGGTTTGAAGACGGTAATAAGGAATGTGAAGTGAATACAGATGTTGTATGTCTTTTTTTCTACAATGGTTAGCAATTGATACAAATGGATGCTTCAAGCATGCCAATCAATGTAAGAATAAAGTCGATGCAAAGATTGGGGGAAAAGCTCTATTTATCAGTGAGAGCGGAATGACAACGATTGGTGTTTCCCTCCTCAACCGGATCATAATGAAGATTTCAAATTGTATAAGGAGAAAGTTCGAAACTATTGTTAAATACTTGTAACGTATAAATTAATCAATAATTACGTGTGATGCCGCACCGACATTTTCCATGGTCATTTACCATTTTTGTTATTTACACCTGATGTGGCCCTATAGCGTGTGGTCTGTGTTTTAGATCGAGCGTTTTTTTTTTCATCGGAATATCTACCTTAAAAGGCAAGCCAAGAGATGATTAATGTAACGTTTTTAATTTAACGAAAAAGAAGGATGTATTCAACAGATCATCGGGTTTACAATGACTAAAATAAATACAAACAAACAAATATTACGGTTTTTTGTGTTTCTTTGAATATGGTAAAAACTCTAGGTACAAAAACTCAATCTAAATCACCAACTCCGATTGTGCGTCGAAAACGTTCTTGTAATCAAGTCTTGTATTCTTTACATGGATAACACAATCACTCTATAAATATGTTTGTTTGCCCAAAATAACTCTCCTGATCAAACGCCATGACAGGGTGCAATGCGGTGCGGTGAAGTTAGATATTGATTAATGCTTCTTGGAACCAATAAAATCGAGACGTCATTTGAAGACACTACGGTAGAGCGATAAAGTTTTGCCATGACATGCAACTGAATTGGACAAACGAAAGGTAACGCTGTATGTTCGAATTAGGTAATTTAATAGAGCCGCTTAAGTAAGTAAGGAGCTGACCAAAGCGTGTGATACAGTCAGTTGTCAACGATTAATGAAATATTCCGTACTTCTAACCTAATTAGGATGTGTGATTACAAAAATATATGCTCAACACTAAATTTGGACTACGGTGACACTGCGCCTTAACGTCCGTTGGCTCTGTGTTTCATGATTTAAGGAGGGAGATCTGTTGGTGGTACAAATGGCATCGGATACGACACTACGCACAGAACCGAGAAAAACGACGGGAAACGTCCAATGACAAATTGCTCATCAACATGTACTTATACTTGAGTTCGATCAACCTACCACAAGCAAGGGTAACAAATTGACATAATAAAGAATATTACTAACTCGAAATTAGTTGTTTATCTTAATCTGGTGATCACATAAGAACCATAAGTTGATTATATCAGCAAATCCTGATGCAGCTAAAAGATGTTGTTACATGCCGTATATTGTATTACACATATCTGATCTAACTCTCTCCTACTCACAAAAGATGCTTATTTATCGGCGAGATTACATCAATATAATTGGCAATTTTAAAATAACCATTATCACATTAGGAAATACACAGACATAATACACAACTCTTACATAAGGCCGACCGCTAAAACATCTTTCCGCCTTCGCAAGCCTTCAACTGATATTCGTAATTCTATTATATACTTAATTAATTAAAGTTGCAGGGTGTTCAAATTGTAACGCACGTAGTAAAACTTTTAACGAAACTTGTTCGCTTCGATTGGTCTTTTCGCTAAATCGAGCATTTCCGTTCTTGTCAAGAAAATTTTTTGTACTTTCTTAAAACATATGAATAATTGCACCAACCACAATCCGTAAAATACAAATTAATAATGTCGTTTAATGTCTCCCCATTTTTTATGTCGCGCTGTTAAAATTAACCAGCGACTAGTCATACGATCCGATCAAACAAGACTTTGCAACACGCATCACTTTACAACGATGATGCGATGCTAAATACGATTATCTATCTATTAATAAAAAGTTATCATAGAATTGCTTTGGCTAAATACCGAATCGTATAGTAACGTGAAATCCTCCAACTCTAAGTTTTATCTGTGAATAGTGAATTGTAATAATCAAATGGATAGAAATAATCACGAGATATTTACATGTTAATGCACTTGTTAATCATATGCAAGACTATTTGATAAAAGACCAATCCAATGTGGAAATAACACATTTAACGTATTCTTTACAGTACGCTATGCGTAAATGATTGCTTTAATTAACTATTCTCAAAAGGTTATTCACTCAAGCTTGTGATTGGACAATGATAACGTGAGTAAATATAAAATTTGATAATGATACGTTTGATTTATCGAAATAATCTATGTAATCTATTAAATAAGCACGCTTAACTCTAAAAGTCTTAATGACTGTTTATTTCCGAGATAAACAATTTGCTATTGTTACTACAATTAATTAAGTGGTCAATGTCTTATTGTTTACGCCCCAAAATAAGCCAAATTAATTAAAGTAAAGTTTTATACAACACATGTCCAAATCGCACTAATATCTAACGCAAAGCTTTATGGTTTTTCGTTTGTTCAAGTTGTCAACTTTAATAACTAGAAAATCACCACGCCTTCAAAATACCACAACACGAACAGTTTTTACTTTGCTAACTCATAATAGTCATTTTTTAATTACACTTTATTAACTGACTTTCATTTACTGTTGGTGTATAGAATACAGTGTTCCTACATTTGTCAGTTTAATATTTTAGCTCTTAACGCAATTTACAATACGCGCAAGTCATTTGTCTGTTAAAAACGCCTTTATTTATGATTACGTACTCGACACACAGCACGGACGATAAACTTGTAAACATTATGCAATGTTAGTAATAAGTATGATTTACATGGCAAGTGTTTCTAGAAGTTGTTCCGCAAAGCTCTTGTTAATTATAAGCCTAAATTACGTTATCAATGGAAAGAGTTATATGAGCAGCTTAGAAATTTTTTTAGTTATATACGTTTAGTTACAATTGATTTAACGGTAAGGTAAGGTAGTAAATAGTTTTGAGTATGGATTTCGTAAAGTTTATCAGTAAATTGAGCCACTTAAGGGAAACCTTGTACTTTTAACAATCCTCAACCTGAACTAATCTGGAGATGATGACAATCTCAGTTGCCACTACATCAGCACAAGCGAGCATAAGGACAGATAATGTGGCAAAATTTGCTACTGAAATTGTGGAAATCTATTTAAATTTCGTACATCAATCATCGTGAGATATTATAAGGCAGGAAATATGTGAGTGATAACATAGGCATATTCAAGATTGGACGC